GTGACTGACCCCACCCTCCCCATCCCGTGCGGGTGACTGCCCCCCCCCCTCCCCCACCCATTCCCTGTGCGGCGGACTGACCGTGGCCCATGGCGGCGGTGGACGAGACGCCGCCCGTGACGGTCTTCATGAGGCTGTCGTAGTAGCTCGCGCCGGACCACTTCTGGTGCGCCAGCGTCTCCACGCCGAACGCGCGCTCCTGCCGCTGGATGTCCTGCACGTACGCCAGCATGCCGCGCGCCGCGTAGTCGCGCGCAAACGTGTCGGTGACGAGCGCGTTGGCGTGGAAGCCGGCGAGCGTGATGAACTGCCAGCAGAAGCCCATGCGCGCGAGCGCGGGGATGAACTCCTGCATCTGCGCGTCGCTCATGCCGGACGCGTCCCAGTTGAACGACGGCGACAGGTTGTACGCCAGCATCAGCTGCGGGTGCGCCGCCTTCACGCCCTCCGCGAACTCGCGCGCCTGGCTGATGGTCGGCTTCGCCGTCTCCATCCACACCAGATCCGCGTGCGGCGCGAACGCGATGCCACGCGCCACGCACGCCTTGGTGCTGCCCTGGAAGCGGTAGAAGCCCTCGCGCGTGCGCGGCAGGTCCCAGTCCCAAAACAGCTCCGTCACGCCCAGCTTCGCCGCCAGCGCGCGCCCCTCCGCGTTCGACAGCGCGCCCGCCTGCGCCGCCCACTGGTCCAGCCGGCGCGCCTTCTCGGCGTCCGCCAGCGGCAGCTTGCGGATGGCGTCGGCGACGGCGTCGGCGAAGAGGCGGAGCCCCGCCGCCGCCGTCCACTGGTCCTCGATGGCCTGCAGCTGCTGCCCCGTCTTGCCCGCCGCCTGCGCGTCCGCCATCACCTGCACCAGCGGCTGGTCGCGCAGGCGCGGGTTGGTGGCGCCGAGAATGAAGGCGTGGTCGCGCTTGTCCACGTTGGTCATGATGAGCGTCGCCGCCTCCGCGTCCGTGCGCGCCACCAGCACCGTCTCCGTGCCCATGATGTCCATCTGCAGGCGCGCCGCGACGAGGCGGTTGACGTGCTCCTGCGTGGACACGAGCACCTTGCCCGCCATGTGCCCGCACTTCTTCGTCACCGACGCCTGGTCCTCCATGTGGATGCCCGCCGCGCCGCGCTCCACAAACATCTTCACCAGCTTCACCGTCGCGCTGATGCCGCCGAACCCCGTGTCGGCGTCCGCGATGATGGGCGCCAGGTAGTCCACGTACGGCGTGCGCGCGCGCTCCTCCTTGCTCATGCTGAAGCGCGCCTCGCGCTGCTTGCGGTCGTGGAACGACTGCGCGAGGAAGAGGTGCTCTACCTTGTTGGGCACCGTGTCGTACGGGTAGTCCGCCAGGTCCGGCCCGGGCTCGTTCGACGACGCCGCCGTCGACGCGCACTGCCAGCCCGACACGTAGATGGAGTCCAGGTACTTGGCCATCTGCGCCACCTGCACCGGATCCAGCGACCCGAACGTGCGCGAGCACGTTCCGTTGGCTTGGTGCCGCTTCAGCACCGCGTACAGCTGAAAGGGGAAGCCGCAGGGGAAAAGGGTGGAGCAGACAAAGCTTACTACTACAGTTTGCTTGAGGGTGCAGATTTTGGCGTCTTAGAAGAAGGGGGAGCAGGAATGTGTGTTTCATTAGAGGAGGATGAATCCACGGATTAAAAACAGATGCGTGCTTTGCAGACGATGGCTTTCCGCGACGAGTTTAGGCGTACCTTCTTAGCCTGCGCGCCCGAAGGGTACATCTTGGGAAGGCTGTCCCGGAGGCGAACGACGTCCCTGGCAGTGTAGGGCCGGTTGGTGAGAGCAAAGCGGCCCGACGCCCACCACGCCTCGACCTCCGCGACTTCCGCATCGAATTGGCGCTGCTCCTCCTCCACGAACTGCATTCCAAAGGACAAACACGTCAATGGGATTTCAAGGACTAAGAGAACGAGTCGCATTCTACAGGAAGGCGAGAATGCTGGTTACGAATTCGGCCATTAACGGGCTTCGGTTCGTACCTGATGAATGACCGCAGGTGATGCGTCCTTGAGAGCACCGAAAGAGAAAGATCCTGCGATTGGAGCCCAAAAAACACGTCAGATTTACTGACAGTCGTGATTAAAGAAACTACCATTGAATGGCTTTGGTGGTGTCATACCCGCCATAGTTGATGGTTCTGGTTTGTTAAAAAGCTCGAATAAACTCCCAAGGTCAAGCAATAGTTGCCAAAGTCACCACCAGGCTGATAGTGATGGAGAAACGAAAGGTGGATCCGCCGCTGTGGCTGACAATAGTTACGGTGGTTATTTGACGTGAAAACTTGACGATGTGCAATGAACCTTGGGAGGAGTTGGTGTTGGACTGTGTGAATTATGAGTGCGCTGGTTTTACGCGTTCAGCACGAGAGCCGCATGGGCGAGCGCTTCCATCCATTCCCAAGAGAGATAGCGGAGCGCGTTCTGATTTTGATGTGATGTGTGCAACCTTGGTGGTCCCAGCTAGTAATTCTCTACCACGTCAGCACACCGTCACCATCGTTGTGGATTTGGTGTCATGGGCCCGAGTGTTGGCCACCTTTTGGTATCCGCGGCCCAACCATCAGAGGCGGTAGATGACGTGGAGAGGGGTTCAGGTGAGCAAATTTCTAAGAGGTCGGAGTGGAAGTGGATGACCCCCAAGTCCACGACATTCCGAGTAATTTCCACAAAGCTGGTCGTCTGGGGGGACTGAGTGCAAAACAAACGAACGCATGAGAGTGCAATAATTTCCACTAACATTTAGGTGTAGTGTATCTAGATATATCGTCCCAAACCACTCTCAAGTAGGTTACTATCAGTCACCCATGTGTAGTCAGACATCCCAACATCTCAAAGTCACACCATCATATCTAAAGCAAGTCTGTACCGTCATCACCCGGATATGCCCCCAGGTGGGGGTGTAAAAAAACCTGGAAAAATGGTGGGTGGGCTTATAATGTGGTAAATTTTATAACCCCATGGGCTAAATAAATGACTCTTATGGAAATTCGATTTTATAATACTGGAATGTAGATTTCACCCTGGCGATGTAAATCGATGCTAACACAAAGAGGATCGCTGCTGGAAAGCTCCGAGAATGTGACGTACAGTCAAGAATCCCAGTCAGCACCTGCTCAAATGTTGCAGATTTCGCGCACGTGCACCTCCTGCGGCAATTTTGCCAAGCGAGCCAGGGTGGGATTTCGTCAGGCATGTCTGTGACGGTTCGTTTAGGCGCGTTAGTGGCTATTTCGCTACAAAGAACACCAAAATTCAATGGGTGCGCTTATACGAAGATTGACAGAAATTGGGGTGGGCTTATAATCGGCAACCGGCTATAAGCCCACTAGTACGATTATAACCGCGTGGGTGTAACATAGGCCTGGGGGTATATCCGGGTGATGACGGTACATGTTTTCTTATACCATACCTGACCAACCCCTCACTTTATCAGCTCGCCTTTCAAATATGAAACATAGTGCTTTATCTCATTCGCAGACAAGAGATACAGGTTGAATCTTGTGACAATGCTAAAGACTTACGGTAGTCAGGTGCGGGCGGAATGAATGGGAAAACATAAGCCAGCCCAGACAGGAGGATTAATTAGTAATCTGATGATAAGCCGTGGTCTTGCTTGTCCTGCCCATCAACTTACGCTCCGAACAGCAGTAGCACATCACAATCGATTCTTACTGATGCAAAAACTCCTTCGAATCTTCTGTGCTGCTAACCTTCTAGGCATCGTAGCTTGATCAATTAGCGCGACACGGAAGGTGTGGTGGGGGTCTCGATGGCAGGTGTTGCAGTGTTCTCGTTATCAGGTGCCGCGGTGTTCTCGTTGGCAGCTGTCGGTGTTTCCGTTGGAAGGAGCTGTGGTGTCAACGGCAGGTCCTGTGGCTACTGCAGCACAGGCAAGGAGAGCGTGGGAAGTGAGCTTGTGGGTGCATCTGGACAAGAAAGCGTTCAGGGGGAGCAAGAGAGGGAGGGCGGATGAGTGATTTGTAAAGATAAGGAGGCGTTAGCTGCTGCTGGCGCTGGTGCTCGTGCTGGCGCCTCGCGCTGGCGTCCGTCGCGTACCAAGCCCAATAGCGCGATCTCGCCAGCGAGGGTGCGACGAGGCAAGCGTAGCGCGACGGGCCAGCGAGGCGCTCGCCATGGGGGAAAAAAAACGACTTAAACCCGAGGAACGAGTGGCTCTAATAACATGTAAAGATAAAAAGCTACCTAGGCTAGGAGAAACCCTAGCCTAGGAGCATACGAATAGTTCGGAGGGAAATTGGCCAAAAGAGGGGTTTGGAATAACAAGGAGTTCAAGATATAGAAAGGTGGCAGAGGGGGGGGTATACCACCAAGAGGGAACAAGATACTACACTATCTAGTGTACATGAAGTTGCATATAAAACATTCAATCTCTAACATGATTCACTGCGACGAGACCTTGGTGAAGGAAATTGATACGAAGCTTACCGGGACGCTGACATGTGTTGCCAACAACGATGTAGCCTTGGTCGCACTGGCACGACACTAGCACGCGGTCGTCGGCGGGTGCGCTGCACTTGGAGTTGGCAGGGCAGCACGCATACTGGCAGGCAGATGTCGTCTGCAGCACAGCGCGGCACGGAAGCGGGGACAGGGAAGGCAGAGATGAGGCATGCCACCCACCCACTAGAGCACTTGGCAGCGCGGCAAACTGGGCTGTGCATGTGATAGTGTGGCATGCGAGTGAGTGAGTGAGTGAAAGAGAGAGGGGGAGAGAGAGAGAGGGGGAGAGAGAGAGGGAGAGAGAGAGAGAGGACGACTTTGAACGGAGAGGAGTAGAGGAGATGAGGGCGGGGCAAGGCAAGCGATGATGCAGTGGGCGGACTTCACTGCAAGCGGGAGATTCATGAAACTGCGCACAGGGGGAGGGCGTCACATGTGCACGGGTCGTTGGTCAGGTGTGGGGGAAGAGCCGAGCAGCGAGCATACGAGTGCACGGTTGTGGTCAGGCGGGGGAGAAAATGCACCTTGACATGCCATTGGTGAAGCTGGCCAACTCCTGTCCTGTGCACCCTAGATCCTGAAAGAACCGGATTGCGCTGCAGGCAGCCTTGCTAGGATCGCTTCCTTGGTGCACCTGCGACGGCACAGCACCGCCGTTGGACGGAATGTTGGCACAGCGCGACGAGAAGGTGATTGGGCGCCCGTCGATCACCATCACCGTGCCAACGCGCACTGCGACCGACACGCTCGCTGCTGCTTGCGACGGCTGCATGTGACACGCTGCAAGAGCGGGACAGGTCGCATTTGAGGGGCACGGAGGCAGCGGCGTGCTCGTTGGAACGGTCGTATCAGGTATGCTATGGTCATGTGAACACGAGGCGCATGAGAGCACCGGGTGAGAGAGCGACGAGCACGGAGCGTACCGGCGATGACGGCGACGATGGCGAGCAGCGCACGCACGGCCTTGCTATTCCCCGTGCGGCCGCTTCCGCTGGGTGCTGCTCGCTCTTCCGCCTTGAGCACTGTACGAGTTCCGACAACCGGCGCTGGTTCGGATGGCGAGAGGAGGCGCGCACAAGACGGTTGCGCGAGAGGCAGCAGAGCACTGACAGGCGACATCCAGAGTAGCAAACGTGCAGCGGAGCGATCCCAGGGGGAGCGTTCTTAATAGTGGGCTGACTGATTTACAGACACGTCGAGGCGTTGGTGGTAAGTGATAGAGCAGGAGAGGTGAGGAGGGCAATCGGGCACGTGTGCGTAAATGGGCATCGAAGCGATCCCAGCGTGGGGTGCATCGTGCGCTCCACGGAGCTTCTGTGCGCGCCGGGCGGGAGATGTGTGACGGGACGCAGCCCGTGACGGGCGCGGCAAGGCCTTGGCCATGTGCGACCGCTGCGACAGGAGTCGCCGCAGGGAACGCGTTCCTCTAAGCGCCATCGTCGTTTTGAGTGCATGATTCACAGGCCTTGCAAAAACAGAAATGGGATGATGGATCGCGTCAGCTCTTTTCACAGAAAGGCCTTGGTAAGGAAGGAAGGACAGAGAGGCTCGCAGGAAGGGCCTGTTCTCGCAGGAAGGAACCCTCGTGATTGTTGTTTTCTTCCCAACACTTTCTAGGTGCGCCGCGTCTCCTCCCTCGATCGATCCAGCCCTCGATCGATCGAGGGACAACTACAGTGTCGCAATTGACGGGGTAACCTAACTTCGAGATGGCTTGCGACTGTACAGTAACTGGTGCCCAACGATCTTGTCACCTCCGCTGATGACGATCGATGTGCCTCTGTGGCCACACCGATCTCGGCTTTTGTAGGATCGAGAGTTTTTCCCCCTTGTATTTTCGACCCTGTCACCCAGGGCTCGGGATCGATCCACGACTGTCACCTCCTACCAATCCCGCCCCAATTCGCCTCCGCGCACGCGTTTGGAGGTTCCATGCGACAAGGGGGAAAAAGAGAGGGGTGAGAAAGGTTATACAGGAGGTGGTAGAGGGTTTGAACAAGACGGGGAAAGGCTCGCTGGAGTACGTGCTGCCTAAGCTCACGGCGAGGTTGCGGTCTCAAGAGAAAGAGAGGAAAAGGGTGTTGGGAACGCAACTGCATCTCACGGAGGAGGTGGAACGGTTAAAACCGGAGTCCCAAACAGCCCCAAAGTGCCTCAACCTTCCTTATTTTGAGAGGGGGTGACCCAGTAGGTACGACTCACTTCGCAAATCGGGGGGACAATTTTCGTCACGCGAAACTACTGTTCTAGCGAGGACGAAAGCATTGACGATTTCGCCAACAAATTTGAAGCCCGTTCGAAACTGTCTGCGAACTAGTTCTGACGTTGCATTCAAGATCTGGTTATTTTCGCGAAGTTTTCTTCCTTTGCGACCCCAGACCACCAATTTCGACACCATCCTGGCTCGCGAGCCAGTCACCTTTCTCTCTCCTTTCAACCTTCCTAACTTAGAAACTCTTGGACCTCCGGTTTTAAGACATATGGTCATGGGTGGTCCGACGGATGACAAGACGAAAGCGCTGCTGCTGGCCAGGGAGGAGCAGCTGGAAGCTTACCGAGAGAACGAGAGGGAGAGGCTTGAAGTCTTTGCAGGACTCACGGCAGAGCTGTGTCAGAATGTTATAATTGTCTAGCCTGCAGTGGGGTACTCTATAGTGAGTACAGCCCAATTAGGGTTTGCTATATGTATCCTACTGCTTGCTAGTGAACCTCCTCCTTTCTTCATTCTTACTGCTAGTTCTGACATGGTATCAGAGCAGGTCGACCCTCCTGGGTCGATCCTGTGGGTGGGCCCACCACCTCACTGCTTCCGCTGCTACTGCTACTCTGTGTGTTGCACGCCCCGTGGCGTGCGACGGATTTTTCATCCCGCCGCGCGCTCGGAGCGTGCGGCGGTTTTCTGCCCGCCGTGCGCCCCGAGGCGCGCGGCGGTTTTCTGCCCGCCGTGCACCCCGAGGCGCGCGGCGGTTTTCTGCCCGCCGTGCGCCCCGAGGCGCGCGGCGGCTTTCTGCCCCGTCACTCCGCGCGTCGCTCCCGGGAGGCGCTGCGACGGGCGACGGGGACCCGCGCGTCGCCCCCCGTCGCCCGTCGCGGCCTGCGCGACCTGCATAGGGCCCGCGCGCGGCCCGTACAGCCTGCGCGCGGCCCGTACGGGCTGCGCCAGGCCCGCGCGCGGCCCGTACGGGCTGCGCCAGGCCCGCACGCGGCCCGTACGGGCAGCGCCAGGCCCGCGCGCGGCCCGTACGGGCTGCGCCAGGCCAGGGCGCGCCTCGGGCCGCCCGCACGCGGTTCGTACGGGCTGCGCCAGGCCCGTGGGCGCCCTGTTTCCTCTTCCCCTGCGCTGCCCGCTGTCCCCCGTGCTTCTGACGGCGCCCCACCCCTGCTGCTGCCCGTTCTCCTGAATTAGGGTTTGGGGTGGGGGGTATGGGGGTGCAGTTTCTGTGTGCCGTCCCCTGCTCCTCCTCCTTCTCCGTCTCCCAGTGCTGCAGCTGCCGCTGAGGGGGGTGGGTGTGTGGGAGCCGAAGGAGTGGTACTAGGGGGTGACGTGCAAGTGGAGTTAGGAGTGAAGCAGTGGGTGTGTGGGGGTGTGTGGGACAGTTGGAGGAGGTTGAGCGGAGGCTGCTGTCTTGTCGTCCGCAGCACCTGTAGTCCGGGGCGCACTGTCCTGGTAGCCCAGAGAGTCTGCTGCGCCTGTCGCCCGAGGGTCCGTTGCTCCTGTAGCTCCTCGTAGCCCGTGAGCCAGTTACTCCAATAGTCCGGGGCGCACTGTCCCGGTAGCCACTGTGCCAGCAGCTCCTGTTGCCCGTGTGTCTGCAGCTTCAGCTCTCTCATCTTCTCTCCTCTCACAGTCCCTCCTCCTCCTCACTTGCCCGCTGTGACTACCACTAGCTTTGCTTATAATTGTGAACTATTACTATGCTTGCTTGTTGTGCTGATTACACCCCACTTTGGCTATGGGGGTGTGTCAGAATGTTATAATTGTCTAGCCTGCAGTGGGGTACTCTATAGTGAGTACAGCCCAATTAGGGTTTGCTATATGTATCCTACTGCTTGCTAGTGAACCTCCTCCTTTCTTCATTCTTACTTTCTACTGCTAGTTCTGACAAGCTGCAGGGGGAGATCACGTCGCCATACTTATCGGCCCAGGTGAAGATGAGGAAGGAGCGCACACTGATCGAGGAGGTGCAGTTCAAAGGGTCGTGCCACAGAGGCTCTCAAGCGGTGCTGTCGGCGGCGTCGGAGTACTTCGCGGAGGCTTTCAAGGCGGAAGCGGCGGAGCCACAGTCGGGATGCCTCGACTTCAGGGTGGACAGGAAGTTGCCAGCGGAGGCGGCGGACAGACTTAAGGCTCCATGGACAGAACCGGAGGTCAAGGCGGCTTTGGGCGGGCTCCCGAAGGGGAAGTCGCCAGGTCAGGACGGTCTGCCGGCAGAGCTGTTTGTCGCCCATTGGGACCTGCTAGGGAGCAGCTTTATGGGATAGGTCAGGAAGTTTGAAGCGACGGGTAGGCTGCCGGACTCATTGACAACGGCGGTAACGGTCCTACTGCACAAAAAATGAGAGAGGGATCTGCTTACGAATTACAGGCCGATTTCGCTGCTCATCACGGTGTACAAGGTCTTTGCCAAGGTGCTAGCGAACAGACTCAAACAGGAGCTGCACCACATTATCTCGAAGGAGCAGCACGGCTTCATACCGGGTCGCAGCCTGGCAGATGCGGTGGCGGTGGTGGCGGATGCCATAGAAGCGGCGGACAACGACGGCGAAGACTGGTATTTTCTGCTCGTAAATTTCCACAAGGCCTACGACACGGTGTCATGGAGTTTCCTTTTCAAAACGCTAGAGAAGCTCGGTTTGCCTGCGCAATTCGTTGGTTGGACGGAAGGTCTGCATCGGGGAGCAGGGACAAAGATGGCGATTAACGGCTGGATTGGGGAGAAAGTGGAAATGCAAAGGGGAGTGCGGCAGGGATGTCCCTAAGCGCCCTACCTTTTTCTGTGTGCCCTGGAGCCACTGTGCACGGAGATAGGGAGACGCGGCCTGGGAGTCAAGGCGGAAGAAGGTGAAGCAGTGTCGTATGTGGAGTACGCGGATGATACCTCGCTGATCCTCAAGGGTGCAGAGCAACTGCGTGAGGCGGCAGCGGCGCTGGAATGGTTCGGGGAGCTGTCTGGCCTGCGCATCAACCGAGACAAGTCAATAGTGATGCCGCTAGGAAGGAATAAAGGCAAGTCGTCGCTGCCGGGGGTTACCTTTAAGTGGGCGGAAGAAGGTGTCCCCGAGCGGCTGCTGGGGGTATGGGTAACTCCGAATGGGGATGCATCACCGTCCTGGGAAAAAGCTTGGGAGAGGGGGAGGAAGGAGCTGGTTAAGTGGGAGAGCCAACATTTGCTAACGACATCAAGGGTGACGGTGATCAACAGCTACATTATGTCGATACTGCTGTTTCAAGCGCAGATTTACCCGCCGCCGGAGGAGCTCTGGGGGAAGATACGGAAAACGTGCGACAATTACGTCTCAAAGGGAGAAGTGACGGCGGAGAAGATCTTTGTTCTCTGGAGCGGCGAACTGGCTTGGCTGCCAAGGAAGAAGGGGGGACTGGGGCTGATAGACCCGAAGGAGTGGCTGGACAGTCTAGCGATACGTCAGGTGGGGAAGTTCTTGACGGAGCAAGACATCACCAAGCGATGGTTGACGGAGAAGGCGGCGGCGATGCCGCAAGGGGTGGCGACGCTTTTCGCCCATAAATCTGCGGGCAAGCACTGGGAGAAGGGGAGCCA